TGGGGAGCTTTTTGAAAACTTACCCATTCTGTGAAATCTGCTTCATCATACCCTGGATAACCTTGGTTAGGAAAGCAGCTCACTGAGATCCAATTTATTAGACTTATAAATCACACATTATTCATTCTCTTTTCTGACTGGATGCAAATATGTCTGGAATTCAGGGCTCTCTCAGTTAGAAACTCACTTTTCATGTTGTTTCAAGCACACTGTTCTCAATAACTGCCACCAATGACTGTCTTGAAAGAACATTTAAGGAAAATAACCATGAAAAAAGCAACTAGCCAGCAAACCATTCTGACCAAATATGTGGAAACAATATTTCAAGGGGTTCCCTCAGCTCTGTGTTGACCATCCTGTCACCTACTGCACTCTTTGGGACCCAGTCACTGTTGTTCATCTGGGTGACCCAGTCACCTAATCACCTAACTAAATACAAATGAGACATATCTGGCAGGTCTGGTCCATTCCTGTGTACGCGGCAGCTTTCAATGACCCGAACAGTTAGGCAACCTCGTGGGGAAATAGTCAAGATTGTAAGATTCCTGGCTATCATTTGGCAAATATTAATGGAAAACAACGTCCTTTGAAGGCAACGCTTCAAGCTCAGCAAGCTGGCATTTTTCAGCACAGTTCTGTCAATTTACCTGATAACTGTTGCATACAAGATACAGCAGGGTTGTCACACACTTACTGCTTGACTTTTAGCAAATGCTGACTTCTGAACCAGTGTGAGAAATATCCAGGAGAGCTAGAGACACCAGGAAATGTATTAATTCTTCCTCTGTTTTTTAAAGAACACTGAATTAAGATTAAATAAAACACTCTTCTTGGAGACACAGTGCTAGACGGTGGCCTCAAGCCATGCCCATCATTGGCTATAGAGCAGAGAAGGAGCAGCATGTGTAGACCTGGAAGCTCTGTTATTAAAGGAATCTGATCAGCTGAGCCAACATGTCTCCTGGAGATTCAGAGCAGAACATACAAGAATGCTCTGTTCCAAATCGCTCATTACCTCACACCTATCCCATCTCGCCAGACCTCTTTTAGGAAATAACAGCAATAGCAGTGCTAATACCCCAGCATGTTTATACTTGGACATTGCGCAAAGGCATGAAAGTCCCTCTCCCAAAGCCTGTTGGAGCTAATATGGGTTTTGCAACAAGTCCCAAGGGATGGAAGGGCTCCTCGCATCTCATCTCCATCCCTTCCCCCGCCCCCCCCAAGCACGCATGCTTATGTAGGCACAGTGAGGCCTTTACTTAATGAAACTTGTATTTACAGCACATTACAAAAATGTGTTGTTTGTGTAGAAAGTGATAATATGGATTTAATTAGTTTGATCTTGCTTTCTGTGGTAAGACTGAGTATCCTTAAATGATTGTTGTGGCATTTCTTCTCTGTTTTCCTTGTATGCATCATAAATAATAATGCAATAAGTTTTCAAATTACTTTTCTGGTGGCTATTATGTTATGAAGCAAAATGGGAGTGCTCATGGGAAGATTAACAATAACTTTATTGTTATAGTACATTTAATTCCAAACAAATCGGAAATCTAGATGACTTCACAAATCTTGATCCTTTCACTTGTCATGGAAATGCCATAATTTCTGGTATATGGCTGATCTTTAACAGTTCAGAAAAGCACAAGACTACTGATTAGGACAGAAATCCATTTTACCTAATCTAGTCAGCTAAAGGTCAGGTGTATAGCCTAGTCTGCTTGTCCACTAAGCTCCTCTTAGTGAAAAGGGAATTCAACTCACCAGGCACCTCTGTTATTACCTGGGCTAACCCAAAGGAACACATAGGATCAGAGGAATGTGGCATGGCTCCTTTTCATGATAATACGGCTTTTGAGCCAACTCAAAAAATCTCAGAATCTCAGCTGGTTGATATAGTTAGCGATGCCCCTTGATTTTGCCATTGTTTCATTCCCAGCTGTGTTTTTTATTTCCCCCCTTACAAATTCCTTACATTAACTCTGCAAATTAAGGCAAGAAAATATCAGGGAGGTCACCTGAGCAGCATATAATATTTATAAAAATAATATTTAATTTCCTACTTCTCAGCAGATATAAAGAAACAAAGATATACTACTAGTGTTATATTGCTCAACATAACAGAGAGGATGTGGGCCAGCTGAGAAGATTTCAATATGCCCAATAGAATCAAACAAAAGAAGGAAAACTGAGAAAAAATAAAATAAAAGATAAGATATTCTGAAAAGCTAGAGTATGACTTAAAATGAGCAGAGCTGAAATTGAATTTGTCCCTCCAAACCCAAGTCCTTTCTTCCCTCAAAATTTGCTCCAAAACATCGCTGGTACAGTGTGACAATGAGGGAACTCAGTGACCTGTGTTACATCTAAAAGATAAAAACTCATGTGGATTTGTTACAAGAAGACTCAGCAGCCTGATCTCTTTGCCTGGATAAAGCCAGTCCAGGTCAACTGGAGTGTTGCAGGGAAGGAAGAAAGGGTTCTTGGTACAGATCCCACTCACATTTAATTTGTCATCCTCACAGAAGAGGTTGCACTGCGAAACGAGGCTGATAATCACAACCCACATGGAAATATATTTATTCTCACACTAAAAAATTCCATTATTGGCTCAAAATCAGCACTTAAAGAGTCTGAAAGCTCAGTTTGTTTGCCTAGGCACCAAATTCAGATGTCATTGATGAAGCTTTTTTTAACTTGCCTCTAATACTGTTGTTTAGGTCTCCTTTTATCTCTGTTCCTTTCCACTTTCCTGCTTGAGTGTCTATTTCTCCTTTGCTTCATTGAGTCTCTCTTCTTCCTTTTTTCCTACTACTTAGCTTTGAAGCTTCTTCACTGAGGACATATATCAGATGTCCTTAACAAATCAACTCTAGCACTATGTGAAACTCGCATGTCTTTGGGTTTCACCATTCAGCTCATGACCAAAGATTTTCTCAGTCATTAAATTTTTACAGAAGCTTGGTCCACTTTCATAATAACCCAAACTACTGTTTATTTTCATTATCAAGGAACGATGAATCCAGTGGCTTCATGACATTTTTGTAGAAAACAATTTGTACCGATAGCTTCTAAATTTAAATAATCTATTAGCCTTGTAGGAAATTCTGGGGGGATGTGTACATGCAAATCATATACAGAAAAATTTTCTGGCTGCATATAATATTCTTATATTTGTCTTGTTTTAGCCTTAGGTTTTGTATTGTCTACAGTACTGCACAGTTTTTGACTTACCTTTAATAATTTTGCTTAGAAGTTCTCTCTCTTACAGTATAAAGTATGTTGTCACATGGTTTCATTTTATCTCCTGTGTGCATACATTTTGCCATTTTTGGTGCATCTTTCACAATCAGCTCTTTCAATAAGTACAGTATCATTTATGTCTGACTCATTAACCATGCAGTCATTTCTATTTCACTTGGTTTTGCTCTTAGTAAAAAACTGTTTTACCAAAATGGTAAAGCTGAGCAAATAATATACATCAAACACTTTATCTTCCTTCTCCTCATGGGAAATCTTTGACCAGATTGCGCTTATTTCTTTATTATTAATCATTTAGACTTATTCAACATTGACTAATTCATTTCTTACTATATGGATTAATTACAGATATCCTATACTGAAATTAATTTCCTTTACTCTATAATTAGTTGGCTAGGTCAGGTTGCTTTGTTTCAGATCCCTAGTCTGTGCCATACACAAACATTCTTTGCTTAGAAATTCATTTCCTGAAAATATTAGTGCCAATAAAGTGGACAGCTCTTGAATGTTCACCAAAAACCAAATCTTTGTCTTTCCAGGCAAATGGCTTGTGTTTTAGTTAACATTTTCATTTACATTTATTTTGTTGGGTTGTGAGAATGCTAGCAGTGCAGCAGGCTGTGGAAGTGAGGCCCAGCTCTGCTTGTGTATGCACTAAGTTATGTTCAGGATCTGCAAGGAGTCAGAGTGGCACAAACTCAAGACCCCAAACTCTGCATCTCTGGAACCTTATTCTCAGATGTCCACCCTGCCTCAAAGAAGTGCAATGACATCAAGGTAGAGCTATGGCTGTTTGTTCAGGAAACACCAGACTCAGACCAGGGCATATCCGCCTGTCTCTGCTGTCCTTGAAGAAGATCACCAGTGGCATGAATTCACCTCGCCCTCCTCTACTGACCTGCTGTGAGAACAGACAATTGAAATGCCTGTTCAGTGGTTCCTCTGAAGGCAGCATACCAGGGTCTGGAAAACTGCTCGGGTCTACTTGCAAATGACTCCAAAATGAGCTTGGAAGTTTGTAAACGCTGTCAGATTTCCCTTCTGCCAACTGTACGGGAGGTATTTGGGAGGTATTTCTCTGAATGCACTATTCGGATATTCCTGTGACTGGGGATAATCTGCCAGTCCTAGATTAACTGCTACACTTCTGTCCAGTTCCTGTTTTCAGAAAGACCAAGTGAGCAGTCTCTTCTGAGGAGGAAAGGTTTCTGTGCATGTACTGAGCAAGGGAGGGGCAGGTTAGTCTTAAGATAATTGTTTAAGGGAAAAAAATATCTGGCCATAGCAAATACACCCACAAGGTGCTGAAGCTTGTCCTGTAAGTTGCTGAATCTCTTAAACTCCTGAAATCTGCAGGCAAAACAGTGATTTTAAAAGTGTTTAACACCTGAGCTTCTCAGAACTGCACTTCTCTACCCACCCTCTGGGCCTGCTCTTGACTGACTTTTCAGGCAGCAGTCCCCTCTCTTAGTTAGGCTGATATTAGAGCTGTAGTTGGCATACAAACAACCTGAAAACTCCTAACAGGACACTGTCGTGCATCTCAGAGTGGCTTTGCACTGCTTAGTTAATGAGCTAGTAGCATTTCGAAGCCTAAGGGAAAATGAGAGTGGAGATAGAGCTAAAGCCCTTGCCAACCGCAAATACACGGACCAACATCAGTTCCTTATTTAAGAATGGAATTTCTTTTACTACTTAGGATTAACCTTAAAAAATCATGTCTCGTCAACACTCACCCACAGTCTCCACGGCTTTAAGGTCTGGGGGTGGCCAGGCAGTGAGCAGGTTCATGCTGGAATGGATCTTCACCGGCAAAGGTCCTGTAAAACTTCATCCTTAATTTAAAGCTGCCTTCTCTTAGAAGAGTAGTGCATGATCCTGCCACCAACCTCTAAGTGGGGAATCACAGTCATCATAACGTAAAAATGATGTATATGAGCTGTGCTTTCTATTAGACCCCTTGTTATCTGTGGTGAATCTGAACTAGGATTTCTGTTGAGCTGCTGCATGGGCTTGGCCCATTCAAGTCAGCAAAACTGTGAGAGAAATTAGCGCATCTGTGATCTGCATCTAGAAATGGTTTCTCCTTCAGGTACCGTCCTAGCATACAGCAGGCCAGAGAAGATGATATTAACTATTTGACAATTTATTCTGGGATAATGTTTTGAGTGGAAACAACCAGCGGGAGATTTGTCTTCCTTATTCAGCAGTTACATATTCTCTCTTCTCTGCAGAACATGGTAATACCGTGGGGTGATTTCCTCACTGTCAGCTCATAAAAATACCACGTTATTTTGTTGTAGTTGGAGTGACTCTGCTGGGAACCCATCCAAAGCAGTCAAATACCTACATGGACTGACTTGGCTGCCTGGCCTACTACATGCACTCTAAATATGGCAGGGCTAGACGTATTAGAACATACCAACCTAGTCACCACCACCTCCCTGCTCTTGTACTCTCCATAGTAAAATCAATGCACATTGTGCTCTCAGGCTGGGGCTATTTTTAGGTGTTATTTTTCCACTCGGTCTGCAGCTGTTTTCAGTCACAAGCTTCTTTAACTAAAACAAATACACAGTCCTTGGCAAAGAAGAGGATGTAAAGAGGACAGAAGCGTGCACATGAATCTTAGGCCGGCCTCACTCGGTTTTACATGGTAAGGGGTCAGAGGGGAGCAAAATGTACCATAATCTTTCAGGAAGCCAGGGACTAGCACTCTCCATTGTGTTTAGCCTTACCTTCAGGCCTGTTCCAGAAAGATCCACGAAGGGCAAGCTTCTTAGGGTAGAAGAATGTGGGAAGAGGAGGGCTGGAAGGCTACCAGACTCAGCATTATCTGCAACACCTCTCTGAGACACGCACACAGTCACAGTCATTGCAGAGCCTTTTGCCTTTAGTATATACCAGTTCCTTCTACAGGATATGTAGTCCCTTTGGCCCTATTGGGTTGTTGTCATTTCCTCTTTCTCCCTCCATCCTGGGGAATAAGGAGAATGGAAAGAATGGGAAAAGTTATCACATGGGATGCCTCAGAAACGGTGAGTCTACGTGCAGGAGCTCCAACTTCTGTGGCATTTCATAAGATCTGCAGCGTTGAGGGTTGAGCTTCCCTTCATTTGTAGAAAGGGAACTCTGCTTCATTCTCTCTTCCTCCACTCCTCCCACCAGATTGCAAAGCAGAAATGGAAGTTCCTAAGGGCAGAGCTGCAGTTGTTTCTCTTCCATGTGGGAATGGCTTGCTTTACTGTCCTGGTAATTAACAGTGAGAGAGAGAACAACTGAATCCAACTATGATGGTCTTGTTTGGCATGCTGAGAAGAATGTCATACTAGGATACTTTTGAAGTCAAGAAGAGTTGACAAGAAGAGTTGTAAAACCCACCATCCCTGGGGTGACTCAAAGCACCTTCAGCCTTGCTGGATTCATAAAGCTGATCAGTACTAGCTATAGCTGCCTCACCCTAGTAGAGTCATCCCCATATTGGCTTGAACCCAGTGGGTCTGGACACATGGTTGCTCTGAGGGCAGTCTGCAACCAAACTGTTGCATTACACCTGACCCAGTACCTTCAGTCCCCACTATGTGCACTTAGCACATGTCCTGTACAGTCTGGGGAACCCATTCTGCCTATGCCTAAGATTTCAAGTCCTCTGTCTGCATGAATGCTCAACCTCAAGCTTTCTCACAAAGACCTCATGGGCCTAGCTCCAAAAGATGAGCTTTGGAGCTAGTTCTCACTGTTCCCAGACAATCCTCACGTTTGTGTGTCTGGAAAAGGTATGTTTGTTGTCATTAGATCACTGCAGTTCTCAAGAAGTTACCTAAATGCTGTCTGAAAACCCTGACCCAGGGCCTGAAACCTCAGTACCTGACGTTCAACTTCCACTGCCTTGCCCAGATGAGCTGCACTTGTTTCAAGAGTCTCAGCTCACTACACGTGCAATGCAGAGACTAGTCTCATGATTCAGGCAATGCAGAGTCCTCTTTGTCTTGTGTTAACTTGAAAATTGAAAACAGCTCCTTGTTCATCAGTCCATAACCACTTCCACTCCCACGACCGGGATCACAAAAAAGAAAATTAAGAAAAATCCTCCACCTTTGCAGCTGAAGCCTTCTGCACACCAAACAGATGTTGAGCCTGGCAGAGCTGCCTTTTCTAGAAACTTTGGGACAGAGAGGGGTTTAAGCTTTCTCTGCTTTTTGGCATCTTGTGATCTCTTGGGTGTGATGTTAAGTCTATCTTGATATGTTAACTCATGGGCCAATATCCCTTGAGCCCCAGTTCCCCATACTGCCTATCTTGTATCTCTCGCCTGGGTGGACACTGTGGGGCTTGGGAACATCCCGCTGCTTCATGTTGTCATTAGATCTGCTGTCATTCCATCTGCTGCTGGGAAGAAATGCAGTAGCACAGGCATGAAGGGAACTGTGGTATTCTCCTGCAGGCCTCTGAAGGTCTGGTCTGAAGGATTTGGAGACCAGGCCTGCAGGGCAAACCCCAGAACAACTTTCAAGCTCCAGTGTGGAAAAAGCTACTGACTCCCCAGGCAAGGACACTGAAGGATGACTCTCCCTCCAGGGGGACCATTAAAGGCAGTGCAGACACAGCAGGAGGGAGCCACTTCAATCCAGGAACCCTAAATACCAAGGCTTCTGTGGATGTAGCCCTGTAACCTAGCCTGTGAATGGGGGGGATGTAAGGGAACTCAAAAGTACCTTTTTTATAGTCATAATTCCTGGCACTTTCCAAAGTAGCAGTTGAGGGGATGCTTTGCCCTTTTTTCATAGTGTATGCCTTCAGCTTCAGAAAAGCTTTCCTTGATGATCTCTTTGCTGTGGCTCAGCTAAGCTGCAACTTAACCCATTGCTGTTTCCATATTAAGATTTTCTCATCACCCTTTAGGGACTTGTTTTCTGTTTCCCTTGCTCATCCTGAGCATACGTTGCTCAGGCTTTGCCAGACTGCTGTTATGACAGAACATCCAGCAAAGGGCAACAGGGTCAGATAGGAATCTTCCTGTCTCCACCATGCCACTCTACTCATCTGAGGAACCTCACTGAAATAATGGGAATACTCCTGATGGATATTATGTGCTATGCTTGATAGCAAATATTAGAGGGATTGGGAGCTCAGATAGTAAAATCTCAGTGGGCCCCCTTAATCAATCCAGCACCAGACACAGTTCTGACGTGCAATAAGAACCAGAATGTCTTCCAGATATCACTCTATTTAAAGAGCTTTATTCTGTGATACAGGCCCTTTGCTGTGAGGCTGATACAACCAAGACAAGTGTAATTTTAGCTTTCCCTGTTTTCTCTGAGCAGTGTACTTACTAGTGCCACTACATAAAAGGCAAACCAGCCGTGGTGGTAATTAAAAAATGCTGCACAATGAGAGTCCTTTGTGCTGTTCTTCTGCCTTGCATTGCTGAAAAAATCAGCTTTGGGTACTGTTTGCTGTTTTGTTGTTCAATATGGAAACTTTCTCATACTATTTTCACATTGACCATTACAAGAAGCACTGCCATCCTCTGTACAGACTGTCTAAATTACATTGTCTAAATCAGATATGAAGTGTCTTATTGTGCTATACTATCAAGTTCCTCACTACCTTTTGCATGAAAAGCAAACAAAGGCACTGTTTCATGAAATCGGAAGTGCGCAAATTATATTTCACATGTGTGAGTTTCCTTGTTTTTATTAAAATTAAGTTTGCTCATTTGCCATATTCAAGCTAGTTTGAAATGAGGATCACCTTGTATCCTAGGAAACACAGTGAGAATTTTATATGTGATCACATTTTTATCCATGTTATGAAAAAAGCAGCTGGTAATTAGGTGCATTATTCATAGGAAAGCTTGTTGAGTGCAGTGTCTGTGCAGTTCCAGCTTCGATTAGAACTTGTTTGGAAGAACTACTTCATACCTTTCAATTGCCCCTCATTAAGTGCAATCATTACTCTTCTGTGGCCCCAGCTTGCTTTAATTTGTGCAAAACATCACAGACAATGTTATTAAAAAAAAAAAAAAAGATTTCTGGGATCCCTTTCATTTTGCTTGACATAAGTTTGCCCTTTCTGTCCATCAGCATTCATTATTATTCATTGAAGGCAAGAGTTTGCCTCGTAGGAACTTGCCAGCAGTGGGAGAGGTGCAGAGCTGTCCTGGTTCAGGGAGAGCACCTGAGCTGTGGAACAGACCACTACCATAGGTAGTGCAATGGGATGGTGCTGAAGTCTCACTTGGAGGCTGGGCCAGTTTGCACAGGAGGGACAGGTATCACGACTCCTATAGTTTCAACTCTCCCACCAATGGCTGAGTGACAGAGCAGAAAAGACACAGCTATGCTACCAAAAAAAAAAGTGACTGCACCCAGAATTATATTAGCTCAGTGATGCCTACATATCTGCCTATTAAGACAAGTCCTAAATCATGCCCAGCAGAGTGACTGGAGGTTGTCAGATAGCTAGCTGGCTAGCCAGGAATTTCCTGCCTCACTGTTATCTCCTGCTGTGGGTATGAGAGTCAGGACAGCTTCTTGGGACCCAGAGAATGCAGGGCAATAAAATCCTTTTGCAGAGGAGGATAATAGTGACACCCTCCACTGCTGAATCTGGCTTTCTCACAGAGTCCATTAGTACTCAGAAAAAAGTATTTTCTCTAAAACTAGTGAAAAGGCAGGCACCAACGCCTGTGCCTGTTGCTAAGACAAAGTGTTAGGGACTCTTTCAACAAAGTATTTGCTGTACACCTTATGGCAGGTTGCATTCTAGCCCACAGACAAGCAGCATATTGCTCAGTGAACAAAACTTGCTGTTTGCCTTATAGTATGCAATCTGCCACTCCCAAGAAACATAGTCGGAAAGCTAAGAATGGCTGCTTCTCCTTTGACCTTTGACATTTTTTTGATTTCTTCACAATCAGGCTTTCCACTTGGATAGGATACGTAGCCAGGTGGTGGTGGCTTCTCTTAAGCTCTGTGGAAGGACAGTGGCCATGACTGAACTGCCAGATCTCTACGGCATTCAGCACAGTTGAGGTACTGCTGTTTCAGAAAGCCGATAGGCCTTTGAGGTGAATGAGATTCTTCTTGACATAATCTCAGAAGATCATGCTAAGGCGTAGCCAGATCTCTGTTGGGAGTTCTACTAAAATCTCACTGTACTCCTCTCCTTCTCTTGATTTTGGCTTATTGCAGTATACAAAATGTATCATGTTCTTCTTGTCTCAGCATCAAGAGTTCCCTGCATCCTGATGATAATAATGATCCCACATCAATGAGCTGATGCACCATCAGCTAATACAACACACTGCCTCACATTTCTTTGATGAAGCAGACACTGCCCTGTCTCTTTTCAAAATTCAGTTTTTGTTTTTTCAAGTCTTCAGTAGGCTATCCCCCTCAAATAAATATCAGATGTTTCCACCTGTGTAGCTTTGCCACTCAGAACACAGAAATGTATAAAAAAAATACAATGGAAATAGCAATACAACTGAGATATACTGTGGTGACTGGATGGGACAGTCACTTTGCAGCCTCATTGCCATTTTAAAACATCCATCCTAAAGACCCCAGAGCATCTGCATAGCTACACATATTCAGATTGAAGTTCAATGTCTGCATCTCCAGCACAGAATTTCTGATGAGCCATATAGTCCTGACTAAGAAATTATCGAAACTTGCATGACTGGGAAGTAGGACCCCCCCACACACAAGTGTCCTTGTTTCTCACTGAAAAAATCTTGTCATCATAGCCCAGTCGTGCACTTGGGCTTCCTCCAGAGACTTCTCTGTAAAAGAAACCCAAGAAGTCCTCACAGACGGCACTCAGACTTGGAGATCTCCATATGGAAAATATTTTTGGAAAGACAAATAACTGTAACTGGGTCAGACAAGGAGATTTTTTTTGCCATACTGCCCCTGAAAATAAAGATGGGTAAGGCTATTGTTTCTCTGCTTATGCTGCGCAGACTTCTGTACCCTTCCACAGCATGCTAAAATGGGCAAATACGGATATCCTAATGCATATTAATATTTATATCATG